CTCACCTTAGGATGCTCGCCTATGATGATGTCCAATTTAATGGACCCTTCCGGTTCAATTATATCTCCAGTGAAGCCGGACAAGGGCATGTTAAGCTTTGTGAGATCTTCCTTCCTGATTCCCAATTGCTGGGCGGCTTCCCAGTACAGCACATTGACACTGCTTCCAGTGTCCACCAAAATTCTTTTAACAAAAAATTTGTGAATAGCCATAGAAATTACCAGGGGGGTCCGATGAGGACTAAGAATGAGTGGTAAATCTTCGTCCGAGAAGACAATGGGCTCCCTCCTTCCTTTCTTGGCCGCTTGGCCTATGTCAATGGACCCCACATACAGCTTGCGAGCCCATTCCTTCCTCTCCTTGCTTGTGACTCCTGTTTCTGGACCGCCAAAGATGACTCCTACTTGGGGAAATTCTTCCGGGTTCTCCTGGACTTGCTGTTGAGGTTGGGCGTCCCTACGCCAAACGTTACCTCCTTGGTTCGGCTCCTGATTGGCACTTGGTTCTTTGTTCTTCATCTCTCCTTCCATCTTTTTGAGGAAATGGCATTCTTCAGTGGCGTGTCCAGGCCTTCTATGGAAGTTGCAATATTTTTCTGGGTCATAGGGCCACTGCCTTCTCTTTTGATCTCCACGTTTCCTCTTCTGCCCACCCTCCTCCTTGCTCTTAATTTCTACCACTGGTGCGGCTAGTGACTTGAGGGTAGGGATGGAGAAAGTGGCCGCCTTGGTCTTTTCTCCTTTCTTTTCTTTGTCCGGGCCTTTATGCCAGGCTCCCTCGCTCTTTCCTTTCAGGCGATCCGACTCTTCCGTGGCGCAGAACTTGTTAACTCTAGCCATCATAGCCTTGTAAGAAGTAGGGGTATCATAATCTAACTTCCTGAATAATTCCCCCGACCTGAGAACGTTCATGAACAGAGCAATGGAAGTCTTATCGTCCATAGGCTCCACCTCATTGATTGCTTCATTCCATCTTTGTACCAATTCACTGTTGGTCTCTCCCTCCTTTTGCTTTAGGGAGAAAAGATGGGTGAAGTACTTTTTTGGCTGGAACCTTCCTCCATAGGTGTTGAGGAAAAGTTGAGCAAGATCTTTGAAGCAATCAATGGTCCCATTAGGAAGAGTGAGGAACCATTTTACGGCCGGCCCTTCTAAGGTTCCTACGAAGAGGCGACATTGGATCTCGTCCTCCACGGCGTGCATCAACATGTGAGTTTGGTACGCAGCCAAGTGATCATTGGGATCGGTGACTCCCTTATAACGGATTTCAGGGGCTTTCATACCCCTGGGCAGTTGAGCTTTCATCACTCTGGCAGTAAAGAGAGAAATTATCTCTACTGTGGGCCCGAAAGACCCGTCCTTGTCAACCTGCCTCTTTAGTTCCTCCATTTCTTTTCTTAATTTGAGGATGTCTCCGGCATCTTCATTTCCGTGCCCCCCAGAATTTTCTCCAGATTCCTCAGTCCTGGGTCCCAACCTTTGGGACGCATTTTTGCGCATCCTCTTATGTACTGATATGCGCCCTTGACTTTCCACCTCCTGATCCTCTCCTTGACCTGTTTCTCTCCCGGTCCCTTGGGACCGGGCCTCTCCTTCCTTGTTGAGCCACCCGAATAACTTTCGGACTATGGGGGAGTTGGCGTCGAATTTTTCTGCTGCTGCCTGGGAATCCTTTGGATGAGAACTCTTAGGGGCTTTAGAGTGGAAACTGCGTTCACCAGATTTGTCTTGTGTTTCACGCCTGGATTGGGAGAGAGTTATTTGGTGTCTGAGATCCTCAGATGAAAGCTTCTCTTTCCCTTCCAAGTTGGTTCGCGCCTTAGCAGCAATTTTGTTCCTCTTGGACCGATTTTTGCCCATAGTAACAGTTGGAAACCTTTTCTTGATGAAAAAGGCGGACCAACGGGAGATAGCGGCCCCTGAGCAAGAAATCGGTCCTCCTGTATGACCGGCTGATAAATGCGGTCCTCTGTGGAAGATCGGTCCTCCTTTCACTCTTTTTTTTTT